ATATATATATATATATATATACATATATATATACATATATATGTATATATATATATATATATATATATATATATATATAATGCATATATATGTATGTATATATATCTATATATAAAACCATTTAGGTTATCCCTGACTGATTTTTCTGTAAGTGAACACTTAAATTCTACAGGCCATTCTATCAAAGATTTAAGATTCTCATCATTAGGGTCCCAACTACAGATCCATTAAGGAAAGACGATGTGCTGAATACGTTGGCTCCTCACCTAAAATCGCATGCAAAGGGACTGAATAAAGACCTAGACTCAGCGATTACTCCTTTGTACATACTGTACATCTTAACTAGGCTTACAGCACATATATCTACAATGGTGTACGGTAAGAATGGCCCGGAAAAAATGGCCCAGGAAAAAATGGCCCCAGTAAAAATGGCCCCAAATGACAGGTAGGTAAAAATGGCCCCAATAATAAAATTCTGTATTAAAACTGATTTTTTTTTTTAAATCATTATATGCATTTTTTTTAACTGAAATAATTTAGGTTTTAAAATGATAACATCAAATAAATTGCCAATTTGCAGGAATTACATATTCAATGATAAAATATTCAAAGATAAAAAAAACCCCCCATGAATAACACCTAAACATATTTTTTTCCATTTACTGCTAAGCTTGTCAGAAGGTAAGCCTCTCCCTTTTCCCATACGTGAACTTGTGATTCAAACACATAATTGATCCACATGCTTTAACTATGTTTATTTGCGCTGTTTATAAAATGTAAAGTTATTTCATTTGATACTTAACAAAAGTGAATTTTGTGGTTATCTATGAGTTATCTACTGTATGTATGTCATTCCTCTACTTTGTTAGTGGAATAACGTTTTTAAAGCTTATTTCTACTATCAAAAAATGTTATTCAATGGCCATTTGTTTTCTGATAATCTCTCAGTACATTATTTGCATCTATTGTGTAACTGCATTTCTTATTGATTCAATTATTGCTCATTACAGTATTTAAATATATGAAGATTTTAAAAGAATATCATATCTATTACTGATTTTTTTTTCATTGGGGCCATTTTTATCGGGGCCATTTTTTCCGGGGCCATTTTATCTTGGGCCATTTTTACCGGAGTCTTTCTTACCTTCATTCATCTACAATTATATGTCACACGAGACATATTTCTGGTATATTATATTTTACTAAGCGTTCTTTTTGATTACCATTATATTATTTTAATACTATATTGCATACACTGTGTATAAAAATAGCCGTCACTATTATTCAATTCAATTCAGACAACATTTATTTGGTACTCTCAAACAAATTACAACAGAAGTGACCAAGGAAAAACACAAGAAAACAATTTCTGTCGGTGTGTACCCTTTTTACAAAATACAAACATGCAATAATCAAAAATAGTGAAAAAAACCCAATTGATTGATCAACAGATATAAATTGCTAATAATCATAAATTAAGTTGTCAAGATAATGTCATTTATATCATATAAGTTCGATCTATTATTTAGGCTTATATTAAGTACTTTGACAATAAATATTTTTTTTAAAGATAGCTTTAGACCTTTGTGAGTTTTTCGTAAGATATGTGGCATTTGGTCCAATAAACAATTCTATAGTTTGGGTCCACTTATATGTAGTAAGTGCTGACCCATTTTTTCCCCCCCCCCCACTTTTCAAATAGGGGGACATCATATCGATTGTCCC